GATCAAGAGCTTCTCCGAAGATAACCCCATCAATTAACCTTCCGGCACCGGGCAGGCGTCACACCCTATACGTCCTCTTTCGAGTTTGCAGAGTGCTGTGTTTTTGTTAAACAGTCGCAGCCACCAATTTATTGCAACCTCCTCCAGCTAAGAGAGCGTGTCTCTTCACCAGCGGAGGCGAACCTTCTCCCGAAGTTACGGTTCCATTTTGCCTAGTTCCTTCACCTGAGTTCTCTCAAGCGCCTTAGAATTCTCATCCCACCCACGTGTGTCCGTTTGGAGTACGGTCGCTTATAAGCTATCGCTTAGAGGTTTTTCCTGGAAGCAGGGCATCAACCACTCCAATCTCGTAAGATCGTCGCATTCGTACCTCAGCGTTTAAGAGAACCGGATTTGCCTAGTTCTCACGCCTACATACTTAGATACACAAAACCAACTGTGTTCTGGTTTAGCCTTCTCCGTCACCCCATCGCACTTATTAGCGGTACAGGAATATTAACCTGTTTCCCATCGACTACGCATCTCTGCCTCGCCTTAGGGGCCGACTAACCCTGCGCCGATTAGCGTTGCGCAGGAAACCTTGGGTTTTCGGCGGACGGGTTTTTCACCCGGCGGGGCTTAAGATATGTACCGAAGCTGCGGATGCCAGTTTACTGGCATGGTAGAGGAGCGTTCTGTAAGCCAATGAAGGTGAATTGTAAAGTTTGCTGGAGGTATCAGAAGTGCGAATGCTGACATGAGTAACGATAAGATTAAATCTTCCGCGCAGGCCGACTCGACTAGTGAGCTATTACGCTTTCTTTAAAGGATGGCTGCTTCTAAGCCAACCTCCTAGCTGTCTGTGCCTTCCCACATCGTTTCCCACTGAGCTGTGATTTTGGGACCTTAGCTGGCGGTCTGGGTTGTTTCCCTTTCCACAACGGACGTTAGCACCCGCTGTGTGTCTCCCGTGATTGCACTTGCTGGTATTCGGAGTTTGCAATGGTTTGGTAAGCCGGGATGGCCCCCTAGCCATAACAGTGCTCTACCCCCAGCAGTGATACACGAGGCGCTACCTAAATAGCTTTCGAGGAGAACCAGCTATCTCCGGGCTTGATTAGCCTTTCACTCCGATCCACAGCTCATCCCCGAGGCTCTACCTAAATAGATTTCGAGGAGAACCAGCTATCTCCGAGCTTGATTAGCCTTTCACTCCGACCCACAGCTCATCCCCGCATTTTTCAACATACGTGGGTTCGGTCCTCCAGTTGATGTTACTCAACCTTCAACCTGGCCATGGGTAGATCGCTCGGTTTCGGGTCTAATCCTAGCAACTAAACGCCCTATTAAGACTCGGTTTCCCTACGGCTCCCCTAATCGGTTAACCTTGCTACTAAAATTAAGTCGCTGACCCATTATACAAAAGGTACGCAGTCACCCGGTCGTAACCAGGCTCCCACTGCTTGTACGTATGCGGTTTCAGGTTCTATTTCACTCCCCTCTCCGGGGTTCTTTTCGCCTTTCCCTCACGGTACTGGTTCACTATCGGTCAGTTAGTAGTATTTAGCCTTGGAGGATGGTCCCCCCATATTCAGACAAAGTTTCACGTGCTCCGTCCTACTCGATTTCACTTAAAGGTTGCTTTAGTGTACGGGACTATCACCCTGTATC